ATCAGATGCATTGCAATTGACAAACATAAATGGTAAAAAAGATTCTATGAACCTGCTGCATGAAGCTGATATTTGTCAATTTTTTATTAAAAAAACCAGCAAATTGCATAAAATTGTGTAGTCCTTCAAACTATGCTTCTTCATTAATTAAGCTATTTATGAACACAAACCACCCTTATACGCATTGCCAATATAAAAGGATGCATGTCTATCATTTCAGAGAAGCCAAACCAACCTCCTGTGTCCATTACAGAATGTTCATGGAAAATGGGCACAGTCCACTCTCGTTGAACCAATTCACACACGAATGTTCACAAGTGATGAAGTGAAATCTTCAAATTAACCTATTTGACGTACAAATTGAGCCAAATAGCAACGATGTGATATAACATGATAGAAACTAAGTAGCTAATTTGGCTTGTAAAAAAAAAAAAAAAAAAAAAAAAAAATTGATAGAACATATAAGGATATTTCCCAGAATTTTTTTAAACCACTTTTAGCACTATAAAGAATAAATGGTCTATCCATTCATCAGTAGTAAGAATTACGAGTTCTAACTCGGACCAAATACTAAATCATTCCTCATTTGCTTTCTGGAGAAAGCTACATTTTACCTCCCCGATAATTTACCCAAGCTGGCAACAGTAGACCTTAGATTACCATACCAAAGCAAACGCGAGCCTATTCCCATTTCGTTGTATCCTAAATGAATTCCTCTTCGTCTTTTTGAACAACATTCAACCATATCATAAACAGGAATTTTGAATTCCCAACGGTCTATTAGTCTAATCAAACAGTTTTTTCAATCTGATGATCATAAATCATTGGCAGCATTTGGAAATATACCCTTCTCTCCCCTGATTAACCTGTATGGATCCCATTATCATCAAATCAAACCTGTGTAGCTCCAATATCTTAACCGCCAACTATCAATCTATCATTCATATCTTTAGAAGTTTTTGAATATGAATTAAAAAGAGGAGCAATTCACTGATAGGCAGATCATTTTAGTGTGCAAGAGATTCAATCTGCATCAGTCGTACGTTTAATGTCATCACGGCCTTTTGACAGGTCTGGTCTTCTTCTCGAGCTCTTCTACTAACCTTTGTACAGTTTTGTCAATTCCCTTCTTCCCTGAGATTGGATTTTCACCAGAAAGGGACACTTAGTAGTCCTAGACGCCTAGTTTGATTATTTCCCTTGCAAGCACAGATGCGGTAGTTGTCCCATCACCAGCAGAGTCATTAGTTTTCCTTGTAACCTTCATCAAAAACTAAAACATGTAATTATATCAAAAACTAAAACATTTATAAGGATTGAAAATGTCTTGGTTATTAGGCCGATGTCAGTAGAAACATTTATTTCCTATTAAGATTAAGCTTGTCACTTTTTATCTTCCAAGACCAAGTAAATAATATAATTTTTAATTTTCATTTATCTGAATAAAAATAGCAAACAGTAAGTGATCTGAGCTCATATAAGCATCTGAACCATTATGGTAATAAATAATAAAATAGCACAAATGAGACTTGTATTTTCTTATTTACTAAGCATAAAAGGAATCCAAATGTAAAATTAGTCCGTGTCTATCTTTCATGCAGCGTAGATGACAATCAAACAAAAACCAAACATATGAGATAATGCATAGAGAGAACTCAGGTTGAACAACCCTAGTAACAAAGCAGAATGGAATTGGCTTTCAACCACACTATCACCAAACACACACACCAATCAGAGGAGAATCGTCATACAAAGAATTCATATTCTGGGTTCCAAGACAAACATCAATCACGCTTGCCATCTTGTACAAAAGATTCTTTTCTACCTCACCATCCAGATGCAACCGATAATGACTCTCAACATACAAAACCTTCCTCTGGAATAATATCATTTTTTTCATAGTTCTCCAAAAACAAAACAAACAAAACACATTACTAAAAAAAGACCAAGCATGGCAAAAGATTGCAAACAAAGCAGAGTCCACAAGGCAAGCAGTAGGCAGCACAAATAATTTTTTTTGATTAACCAACAAATAGTTTTATTAATAGAGATAACAAAAGCACAAATGACTTCAAACGATATAAACAAAACGGTAATAAAAACAATGTTCTAAAAGCAGGAAGTAGGAAACTATCAGCGCAAGCCTAGCAGATAAACCCTGCAACAGAAAACATAAGACAATAAAGAGCTTTAAAGAGAAACCAAATAGAAACCTCAGATAACAGCAACGAAGAAGATGACATCTACAAATGAAATCAGTAGGATCAGCAAATTGGAAAAATCTTTGGATGAGAGAAAGCAGAACAAAAAATCATTAGGTTAAACCCTTAATTTGGTCCGGCAACTATTATATAGACCCCTGAGTTAGTTCCTAAACTAAAGAATTCTTGATTTGGTCTTTAAAATTTTAGTTGGTCCTTCCATTCAAAAACAATTGATCGTGTCTTATTATTTACATGACACATGATAGCTAAGTATGGCCTTCTACTATCAAGTAATAGACAAGTTTGTTTTTTTAAAAGAATGACTGACATGGAATTAAATTTGAAAACTTTAGTTTAACTAAAACATTATGGTAAAATGGAGTGATGAAGAACCAACAAAAACAAAAATCAACAAACCGAAACAATGGTCGACACTAAGAACCTGTTTTCACCATAAATTGTAAAAATTTAAAATCATGTCACGTGTCAAAATATTTTTAAATGGATGGAGGAGATTTTACCATGTCAGATTTGTTATTTTGGGCTCTATGACAGATTAGCTGCTACATTAGCAAAAAAGGAAGATAAATATAAGATTTTATCATGTAATTACCTCTTTGAGTAAAAAAGGGACTGTTCTAGCTGAAATTTAGGACGAGATTATAGCCATAGAAGGTAGTTATCTGATAACGGTACAGATGACGAAAATATAAAAGGAGATTTGACCAGGTCAACCGTTGAACTGTCCCACTATCTCAAGAAACCACTCACAACTTTGTAACTGCAAAATGTGAGGAGTTACTACCGGCCAAGGAGAACAAAAAGGAAATTTTGGAAGGGAAAACACACAGCCTACTCTACTTAAACATCTGCAAATTTTCAAACTTTATTTTCTTTGCTATTGCTTCCAGATTTCGAATTTCAACACAATTTCCAATAAATTTAGGTTGTTTTTCATCATTCCAGTAGATAGCCTAATTCATGTATTTGCTTCAACAATTTCGTTTCATGCAATGAACTTTAATCTTTTAAATTTATTCAAGGTACTGTTCCTTTTCTGTTTGTAATGAATTTAATATTTATGATAAGTAGCATTTCTTCAATGATTACTTATATTGTGTTCACGCTTTTTCTTAATTTCAAATATATTAATTTATTCACTATTCATGTTTAATTTTAATGTTAATTAGGGTTAATTATCTAATTCTGCAGTAATTTAATTTTCAGATCTGTCAGTGGATACCATTTTAATTTAACAATGAACATGTTTAATTTAATTTGGGTATAGCTTTTTCTTGTAAATTTACTTTAAATTGCATGCTATTTAATTTAATTAGGATTTGTTAATTTAAGTCACGGTAGTGTTTAAGTTCTTGAAGTTGTCCAAGACAGATTTCGTAACCTGTTCTGTAGGAAGATATCCCTTCTTCTTGCAAATCGCCTATAGGCACAGATTTCAGTTTTAATCCAACGTTCTTCCCGCCGTCTGCTATGAGGTCGACTGTGAAAAAAGAGAGAGTCATTGAAAAAATCTTCTTTTCTTACATTTAACAAAGTAACTGGCATGCACGTATCTAAATTTCATATGTGTGAGGTCATTGGAGAATTTTTGGGGAACAGAACCAAAGAACAACAATCCCCTCACGTAGTTTTGATGCAATTGGATACTCTTTAGTTGCTTTCAATATTCATCACTTCTTAAGGGAATGCAACATGGTTGCGGATTAGATTTGTTAAACTGGGTCATAGTTTTCATGGACTTCATATTTTTGTGGAACCTCCTACTACTGAGATGCCGTACGTTCAACAAGAAGCCACAGATGGAATTCTTTATCCTAGACCCTGTAATTAGCCTTTCGTTTTAATGTTTACTTTGAGTTACCAAAAAAATGAAAGGTAGAAATTGATCTTATACCCACATGGAAGTAATTCGCTGATGCTATAGTTTCTATGAGAAATAATATAGATTCTACTTAACTTTCATTTATTTTGTGATTTTTTTATTAAATTTTATGATGTATGAAAATCATATTAGGTTACAATTAAATAAAGTCTAATCATATTAGATCCAATAAAATAAAAATTCTTTTAGTACTTTTTTTTTTATTTGTAAAATTTAAATTTAAAATCTTATTTTAAGAAAAATTAAATTTTTTTCACTCAACTAATTGATCGTTGATTTCATTTATTACGTAATTGGGATTATACATATGTGCTAACATTAATTATGATTTTCACTTTTCTACCTTATAGCATGAATGATTTCGCTCAAGACAAGAACTCACTCAAGATATATATCACTAACTTTCTAAATAACAGAAAATGTGGCGGTGAAAGGGCTAATAAAACCTATTGTTAATGGGTCGGCCGAAAAAAAAAAAAAAAAGTATTGTTAATGGCAATCAAGTGTTT